CAGGTAACTGTAGATGCTGTGAGTTCAGGAGTTCAATGACCGCATCCTATCCAGAAGAGAGCATTTTCTGGATCCCTCCTGACCTTCTGGCACTTACATTCTTTCCACCCCTTCTTCTGCAGTGTTCCCGGAGTCTTGGGAGGGTTGGTATAGATGTCTCGGAGCTGAGCACTCACAGTCACTGAGTTTCAGCGTTTGGGCCAGCTATGAGCCTCTGCATCAACTGCTGTTTATTGCGGAAGGAAACTTCTCTGACTGAGGTTGAAAGCACCAGTCTATATCCACCCCAGGTTCTCCAGTCAGTCAAAATTTTATTTTTTACATTTTTATGATTTATTGCATTGTGTTTCAATCCTAATGTTATTTCTTAGGTAAGAGGAGGGGCTTAGAAATCATCTGAATGTACCAAGAGAGGCATGGTGTAGAAATGGCCTCTGTGAAGTAGTCTGTCCAAACAATGAGTGGAAGCACATGACTGAATTCTTCACTCAGACCTGAATGAATAAAATGAAGTGGCAGGTGTGATGCAGTGCACATCCCCTGAGGGTGACCGACTGAGCCGAGTGTGGTGGCACTCACCGATGACTCCAGTGTGGCAGGTGGAGGCGGGAGGGGAAACTGCCAAGGCAGCAGGAGCTACATAGGAAACTTGAGGCCAGCCCAGGCACCTGGACCCAGTCACAAAGAACAGAAAGAATAACGAAATACATGTGAACGAGGAAGGTATGTCCCCAGTTACACCAGTGAGGAAAAGATCTGAGTGTTATAAATTATGATTATGTACATCTCAGGAGAGAGCTTGGCAGGCATCCAACCTGGACTAGTAGTAAGCAGTGTGTGGAGTGTGGAGTGGGGTAGTATTTCAGTGCTTTTCATTTTCTTTACAGTTCTGTTTTCTGACCTACTGATTATGATCATAAGTTTTAGTCCATATAAATCAGGAACACTGATAGAGCTCTTCCCTTTTAGAAAGAAAATCGGAATAAAAGTGGTTATGGTCAAGACAGCAGTTCCGAAAGGATACCCGAAGAAACACTGCCACACGGTGCCCAGTGACTCTCCTGTCACTTGTGCTGGGTTGTTGTCAGAGAAAATGTATTCTTTTTAGAATTAGAAAAGGAAGGGCTTAGAAAACATGTGAATCGTGCTCGTCTTTGGCTAGAGAAGTGTCACCGTCTGTGTGTCTCAATTCTACAAGTTGGATCATTCACATGATAGAGGTTTATTGGTTCACAGTTCTGGGGTCTCTGGTTAGGGCCCCATCATGTGTCCTGACATGGTGGAGGCCGTTAGTGATGAGAAAGGAACTGGGCAGATCTCATCCTAGAGGTGATGCCCCTCAATGCTGTTATGACAGTGAAACTGGAGGGGCAGATATTAACTTCATAGCAGGAATACAGATATTTATTAAAAAACTTTTTTTTGTGGTGCTAAGATTTGAACCCCTTATACATGCCAGGTGTCTTAGTTAGGGTTTCTATTGCTGGGAAGAGACACCATGACCATAACAACTCTTATACAGGAAAACATTTAATTGGGGCTGGCTTACAGCTTCAGAGGGAAGCATGGTGGCATACAGGCAGATGTGCTGGAGAGGTAGCTGTGAGTTCTACATCTGGATCTGCAGGCAGCAGAAAGGGACAGTGAGCCAGCAGGCCTGGCTTGAGCTTCTGAGACCTCAAAGCCCACCTCCAGTGATATACTTCCTCCAACATTGCCATACCTACTCTAACAAGGCCATACCTTCTAATAGTGCCACTCCCTGGGAGCCTCTGGGGGCCATTTTCTTTCAAACCACCACACTAGGCAAGCCTTTCTACAACTGATCTACATTCTCAGCACCTACTGTTTTTTATATATTTAAAATTATTATTTAAAAATTGTTGAAAAGAACTTTGTATGTATGGGTAGTTGGGTTGCATGTGTATCTGTGCATGCATGTGTGTGCCTAGTGCCTGCTGAGGCCAGAAAGGTGTCAGGTCCCCTGGAACTAGAGTTATAGACAGTTGTGAACTGTCATGTGGGTGCTGGAAATCGAACCTGGGTCCTCTGGAAGAGCTCAATGCTCTTAACCACTGAGCCATCTCTCTGGCCCTTAAAAATATTTAATTTAATTTAGTGTGTGTGTGTGTGTGTGTGTGTGTGTGTGTGTGTGTGTGTGTGTGTGTGTGTGTACATGAGCACAGGTGCCTGAATAGGCCAGAGGTGTCCAAGCCTCCTGAAGCTGGAGTTACAAGCAGTTATGAGCTGCCAAACTTGGGTGCTGGGAACTGAACTCTAGTCCTCTGCAAGAACAGCATGTGCTCTTAACCACTGAGCCATCTCTCCAGCACTTTTATGTATTGTATAATTGTAAAATCTTTATAACAGGGGCAGGCAAAACACGCATGTACATAAAATAAATTTTTTTTTTTTTCGAGATAGGGTTTCTCTGTGTAGCTTTGCGCCTTCCCTGGAACTCGCTTTGGAGACCAGGCTGGCCTCGAACTCACAGAGATCCGCCTGCCTCTGCCTCCCGAGTGCTAGGATTAAAGGCATGCGCCACCACCGCCCGGCAAAATAAATAAATTTAAAAATATATGCATCGTATAGTATTTTATTCATTTGCTCAGAAGTGTACAACTCTGTTGCACCCTGTGCAAAGTTTTGTATAGCAACTGTACCTTCTTCCCAGAACTTCTGTCTTTCCATATCGAAGCTGTTCCCTCCAATACTAATGGCCAGCCCCAGCACTCACATTCTGCGGTCTCTGTGAGTCTGACCCTTCTGGGGACTATGTCACCTTGATTCTTTAGTGCTTTTTTTTGTTTTTTGTTTGTTTTTGTTTTTTTGGACAGGGCTTCAGTATGTAGCCCCAGATAGCTTGGAACTCACCTGGACTCATAGAGATCTGCCTGGTTCTGCCTTCCAAGTGCTGGGATTAAAAGTATATGCCACCATGCCCAATTCCCTTCGTCTCCACTCATTATGTCCCAGTGCAGTACCTTGATCTTGGGTTTGCCGGCCTTGTGAGCTGTGAGAAATCAGCTACATTATCCAGCATCCCAGCTTTCCATCGCTGTGGATGCTGGATAATCCGAGATAAGCCTGAGATGATCAACTCAAGAAGAAGAGGGGAGGGAGATGGCCATGGCAGTAAAATGTGCCATGCAAACAAAAGGACCCGGGTCTGAGTCCCCAGAAAGCATATCCCAGCAACGGGAGCGGCAGAGACAGGGGGATCTCTGGGGCTTGCTGGCCAAGTGATCTAGATGAGTTGGTGAGCTCCAGGTTCAGCGAGAGGCTCTGATTAAAAAAAAAATAAGGTTGAGAGTGGCTGAGAGACACCAGGCATCAACTTCTGAGCTTCATATGCTTGTGCACACACTCGTACATACACACACACACGTACAACCACATAACCCACACGCAGACACACACACACACACACACACACACACACACACACACACACACACACACGTACAACCACATAACCCACATGCAGACACACACACACACACACCACACACACACACACACAAAAGAAATGCTTGGGTTGATGCTTTCAGTTTTTTTTTTTTTTTTAAAGATAAGGTCTCACATTGTGCTGTGGGCTAGGCTGGAACTCACTATGTAGCCCAGGCTGGCCTTGAACTTGCAGTGATCTTCTTGCTCCAGTTTACATAGTGCTGGGATTACAGGTATGGCCACCATGCCCTGCTCTTTTAAAAGTCTGATTTGATTGTCAACACTTAAAGAACATGTGGACAGTACCCTCTTCCTCTGGAGCTCAGGGTTGGAGGGGACTTTCTACTCAATGGTGCTGCTCCTTTGAGTGAAGCCCAGGTTGTCCAGTTGCCACGGTCCCCACCACTCTCCATTGTCTTTCTTCCTGAGCTCCTGGCTCTCACTCTACTGAGTCCTGTGGGCCAGTGTCCAGGAGTACACTATGCCCTCTTGACCTCTGGCTTATAGGCTCACAGGACTGGCACAGTTCTTAGCTCATAGGTAACTATGGCATTTCCATGAAAGATAGATATAGATGATAGATAGATAGATAGATAGATTGATAGATAGATGACAGATAGATAGATGACAGATAGATAGATGATAGATAGATAGATGATAGATAGATAGATGATAGATGATAGATAGATAGATGATAGATGATAGATAGATAGATGACAGATAGATGGATAGATGGATAGATGATAGATAGATAGATAGATAGATAGATAGATAGATAGATAGATAGATAGATTGATTGATTGATCAAGGTGTCCAGGATAAGAATCTGATGATTATTGTTTAGGACAGGATGGGACCCAGAATTTGGAAGCTGCTGGTGCCAGCACGTGAGGAAGAATGTTTTCTCTTTTGCACTGAAGAAGCAGATAGACAAGAAGAGTTAAGGAAGTCAAGGGAGATGCAGGGAGCCCCCAAGCCTCCCATGCTGGAATGGAGGTCCCAGACCAATTGGGAAAAGCACCATGAAGATGTGCCCTTTCCTCTGGATCACTCTGTCCTACCTGCTGCTCTGCCCTACCCACTGCTCTGCTTTCTGTGGAGCCTCAATGGGGTCTGCAACCCTGTGTCAAGTTGACCTGGGTCAAGTGAGGCTGCTGGCAGAAGTCATGGGAGCTGGTCCTAGGACCTGGCTCAGGATGCCCAGAGATTATGGAATTGGGGTGACTGGGTGGGAAACTTTAGGGAGAGAGAAGCCTCAATACCAGGTTAAAACAAAGTGAACCCAGGTTTCTAGAAGCCAGACTTAAGAAAATTACTATTTTGTGCTCATACAAAAAGGCTATGCAGTGGGTTTATTGTTGTCTTTTAAAATTACATTTAAAATTACAGCATGAGTGTGGAGGTGAGATTCTGTTCTCACCTATGATATGGATCCTGGGGATTGAACTCAGGTCTTCAGACTTGGCAGAAGCGTCTTTGCCCACTCAGTGGTCTCAGCAGCCCCTCCTTTGGGCTTTTTTTTTTTTTTTTTTTTTTTTTTTGGTTTTTCGAGACAGGGTTTCTCTGTGTAGCTTTGTGCCTTTCCTGGGACTCACTTGGTAGCCCAGGCTGGCCTCGAACTCACAGAGATCCGCCGGCCTCTGCCTCCCGAGTGCTGGGATTAAAGGCGTGCGCCACCACCGCCCGGCTCCTTTGGGTTTTTGATAGCCTGGGCTGACTCAGCCTGGTGCTTCTGGGCACCGGGCTTAGATCTGGACTTCCAGCCTGGCTTCATGTGCTAGGCTCAATTCAGGGGCACTGGGAATGTGCTCAGCAGGCCGGCCAGCAGAACCAGGCCCAGCACAGTCACAGTTACCAGGGCCACATCCCACAAGATCCCTGAATAGGCCCAGGATGGTGGTAGCTTCCAGCCACAGCTACCCAGCTCATAGCCTGTCAGCTGGCCCAGTGGGCGCCTGGTGGCCAGGTCAGGGCTGGCACAGTACACATGTAGCAGGGCCTCAGGCATGTGGTCCTCCAGCCAGAGGCGCAGGTAGGTGAGGCTGCAGTCACAGTGCCAGGGGTTGTGTGTCACATCGAGGTTCCACAGCTGAGGCATGTGGTCGAAGGCACCCGGGGGCACCGAACGGAGGCTGTTGTTGGCCAGTAGGAGCTGGCGAGTGTGAGCTGGCAGGACAGGCAGGGCTGTGAGGCCTTGCCCCTCGCAGTTCACCTTTAACCCCATGGTTTCCAAGGCCTGGCAGGTACAGGGCCTTGGGCAGTCCTGGGTGGCTGTGGCCACAGGCCAGAGCAGAAACAGGAAGCCCCAGGGAGTCATCCAGCAGGCAGGCTGTGGGCAGAGTAATGAGAGTGGGACCTGTCAGCCTGTTCAGGATACCTATGCTGGACAAAGGTGTGTACTTTCTCTCCAGGCCTCTGGAGGGTGCCGGAGCTCTATGCTCTGGGATAGGCTGAAACTCACTATGCAGCCCAGGAAGTGTGGTAGAGAGGGACAAGGTCTTCCTGGTCTCTGGCAGCTATCCCAGCCCCTGCTCAGATAAAGGAGCAGGTGACTGACTGCTAAGGGACTCCAGTCTTAGTCCCTGGCCACAGAGGCTAGGAAAGGTCCCTTTTGACTGTACCCAGTCCTTTGCCTGAGCCTGGAGTCAGGCCATGGAATGCGTTCTACAACTTGGCCGCTCTCTCATGATGCCTGATTCAAACAACCTGCAGGGCTTTCAGAGTGACAGCTCAGAGGGGAACTCATAGAGACCTGTCTAGAAAGCCATTCATCTAGGCTAATGGCCAGAGCTGGGAAATGAAGGCCCAGAGAGGGAAAGCACTTGCCTAGGGTCACCCAGAAGTCCACAGCAGAGCGCAGAGTCAGGAAAACGTCTCAGGACCATCTGAGGTAGCCTCGTTTGCTGCCTTCCCTCCCAGATTAGGACTAGGGCCTTTGTTTTCCCTCCTCAAGCATTTGCTTTCCTACCAAGCCCCAACTCACAGCAGGTTTCGGGAGTGTTCATTGAATGACTCATGAGTCTTGATTCAGCCAAGTTGCGGGTTGACACCTTAGAGCAAATGTTCTCCTACATTCCATCTTTTAGTGGAGAGAGTCAAGGGAGAGACTCTTTCTGCCAGCTCCTCTGGAGTAGACACCAGGCAGGAGGTCCTGCTGGAAATAAGATCACTTACCTGTGAGGCCTTGGTTGGGACACACTTTCTGTGAGCTGGTGGCGTCCTGGTTAAGGCGGTGGTGGTAGTGTGGGAGCTGTGGGAGCTGTGGGAGCTGGCAGTGGTGGCTGCTGCCTGAGCGGAGGAAGGAAATGATGAAAATAGCCTGGCTTATCCCCGAAGTACAGCCCTGAGGGCCTATCTCAGAGGCAGGAGGCTCCCAGGGTCCCTGGGCCTTGGGCGTGGAAATGCAGGCCAACTCCACTTTAACCTGTGGCCTTGTGTGGTGGGTCTGGAGGCCAGTGGAGGTGCCCCTGCCTGGTCCTAGGAGTTGGGGAGGGCTTCCTGGAAGAGAAGATGCTTAGATGAGTGATGATTGGCTGTAAGTTTTTTACAAATGTGGGCAATGGTCCTGGTTCTCCACCCGAGGTGTGGGATGGGAACACAAGGATGCCTGTTTATAACCCTCCATTCCTCTGAAGACGGCAAGGGAGGCTCCTTTTTGTCCATGGTGTTTTTTTTTTTTTTTTTTTTTTTTTTAAAAAAAACACCTTCTCTTTCCTTTTCTGATAGAGATGCAGGTTTGCAGACTGAACCTCTCAGAGGCCGGGCCCAGCTGCAACCAAAGACCAATATACATCTCATATTTACTTTTTTCACTCCTGTTAGTAACCATAATGTTTCCCTTACAAGATAAATGTAGTTTCAGTTTAATTAATGCTGTTGGTATTACAAAAGATTAATCAAAATCAGGCCTAATGGTCAAACATACACATCATGAAATTAAAACTCAAATGTGTGCATTTTTATAATAAATCATAAAAATTCCACACTTGTGGAATTGTGACCGCTAACCAAGTCAGTTGATACTTAGCAGATGCCAGAGTTCATGTGCGCAGAAGATGGGGGGCGGGGTGCCGGTGAATCCTGGGCTGGAGTGACACTTGTTGAAACTGGGGCTCCTGGGACTGTGGGAGGAAGGATGGGTCACTGGGGAAGGAAGAGATCCCTGACCAGCCCTGTGGTCATGGCTGGTGTTGGCCAAGATCAGCAAACACGGTCTGGAGAGACTCAGACGGATTTAGGGATGGAGAGGGAACCTGAGGCTGGAGCAGCAGTACCACTGGCTAAGGCATGCTGGATCTTGTTCAGCAGGCAGGTGTCATGCCAGCTGGGACAGAGGCCTCCAGTATGTCCTGCGACCAGTTCTTAAGTAGTTCTAATGTAGCAGACGTCACACTGGCCCAGAGTCGGGCCAGAAGGCTGCTACGCCTCTCTTACTCTCCCGCATGCCTCTCCCAACCTCCACAGACTAGCTGCTGTCTTCCCTGGAGGGCAGGCCTTTGGGCGATGACTGGGTCTCCCTTTAAGCCTGTGAGAGTCATGTACTCTCTTCACAGCATTTGTCCACTTCTGTTTTCAGTATGGGGGCTCGATACACATGGCCCACCCACTGGCTGAGCTCTGGCTCTCCAGGGCCAGCTTCCTCAACCTTCTGCAGCTGCCTCAGAGAGAGTAGGAAGGTGTTCTCTGGTCCCTGCGGTCATACCTGTCTGGAGCCTGTTTTCCTGTGTCTGTGAGGACTCTGGCCCTGATTGGGGGGCTCAGCCTCTGTGAGTCTTTCTTCCTTTGTGGTAGAGTCTTGGGCATCAGGAATCTTCACTGTCCCAACTTCAGGGCAGCTGATTTCTCTTCCACGTGGGACCAGAGTCCCTGGGTGAGTGAGGATCCCATAGCCTCCTGGCTGTGCTCCTGGCTAGGCCGGTGTGGTCTGTGTCTCATCTATTCAGGTTTCTAAGATTTCCTTATTTTTAGCAGGTTACAGCATCATCAGCAACTACAAAACTCTACACAAATAATCTATTTTTTTTTTTTTGTGGAGAAATTGTAATGTTCAAAAGAATAGGAAGAAGAAAATTAAAAATTTCTTCCACCCCCAACATAAATAAGAATGCCTTTGGGGCCTGGTGTCAGGGTACAATTCAACACAGAGCGCTTGTCTAACATGTGCAGGCGCCTGAGTTTGGAGCCCCAGAGTCATACGTACACCTACATAGAAGTATTTTTTCTTACCCAAATAGAATCATCCAGCGCTCACTCTATCCTGGACCCTCCCCTTCCCGCTGTGACTAAACCCACATCCAGGGCATCCGTCATGGAGGCTAAGTACCGCTTCGTGGGTGTGGCTTCCTTAAAGAATCCTCTTATCTCGGTTGCACAGGTCCTTTGTGGTGCTGAGAGGATCAGAGCCCCCCCCCCCCCCCCCCCCCCCCCGCCCCCACCGACCGGGGCAGCGGGGGAGGGTTCTGGAACTGTGGCTGAGCACTGGTAAGATTACAAACAAGGACTGTTAACCACTATTAGGACTGTTCTTTCAGCTTTTATAAGACGCCATAGTAAATAGTCTTTCAATGCTTTTTGCATTTTTTCCCCCTCTTTTGAGACAGGGTTTCTCTGTGTAGTTCTGGCTGTCCTGGAACTTGCTCTATAGACCAGGCTGGCCTCGAACCAAAGATCCACCTGCCTCTGCCTTTAATACTGGGATTAAAGGCGTGCGCCATTTATTCTTGACAGCCTTGGGTTGAGGTCTGTCAACCCAGTTCTTCCTTTGTGACTGACCAGGACCGCTCTCACAGCAGTCCTGCTAAGCTGAACCCTGAGTGAATGGATGCCTTGAGGAAGCTGCACCCAACCACAGCTGCCTTCTGCTAAAATACAACTCCAGCTTTCACTAGTCCCTGTGAACTCTAGCAACCATTTTTACCCAGATCAGAGGGAGAGCTGGCCTCAAACTCTCTAGGTAGTTGAGGAAGATCTCAAACTGCTTGATCCTCCTGCCTCAACTTCCCGAGTGCTGAGATTACAGGCATGTGCCACTGTGCCCTGCTCAAAGAGATATTCTTATTTTTGTTCTCATCTCCCTCCTCTTCTTCCTCCTCAGGTTGCTTTGGCTGTTCTGGCTCTTTCGTACATCTGTATATTTTTAAAGAAATGTTTTTAAAATTTTATTTCATGTTTTTGAGTGTTTTGCCTGCATTGTGTCTGTGCACCACGCGTGTGCCTGGTGCCTGCAGAGGTCACAAGAGACATTGCATCATCTGGAACTCAAGTTATGATGGCTGTGAACCCCATGTGGGTGCTGGGAACTGATCCCAGCTCCTTTGTTAGAGTAACAAGTGCTCTTTTTTTTTTTTTAAGGAAAAAATAATATATTTCAACAGTAAAACTGGCACAAGAAACATCTTTTTGTTGTTAGAGAGGCAAGTAAGCACTCAGCTTTCTCCTTAGCGGTGTTCAGACCTTTACAAAATGACTCCAGACAGTTGAGGAGCCTGCAACAAGTGCTCTTAACTAATGAGCTGCCCTCCAGCCCCATGGTAGGCATTTTAATATTGTTTTTTCCCTATTGCTGTGGGGAAAGTCATTGATAATTAGATGGGAATTGCATTGATTCTATAGGTCACTCTGGGCAGTATGGTCCTTTTAGCATCATTAATTCTTTTGATCTGTGAACATGGGTTATCTTTCCAGTTTTTGTATCCTCTGTTTTTCTTCTTATTTTTCTTTTTTCACTTATTCTGTGTCTTTGTGTGTGTGTGTGTGTATGTACACACAGGCAAGCACATAGCATGCCTGCGTGCTAAGAAAGGCAGAGAACTGCTGGCAGGAGTCAGTTTTCTTCTCCATTATGTGGGCTCTAGAGATAGAACACAGGTCACTATGCTTGGTGGTAAGCCTTTGCCTGCCATCTTGTCAGCTCTTTATCCTTCAAATGACGTTTTGTTGAAAAATGCATTCAACGCCAAATTTCCAGCTTTACAATTAACACAGTAATTGTCATACAAAAACAAAACATACTTCGAATAGCCGTTTTTTTCTATTTGTGACAGCTTTATGTTTATTCTTTTGTCATAAAAAGAGGAATATAGTCTTCTACAATTTCTTCAAATTTATTTTTAGATTTACTTATCTTTTATGTATGTGAGTGTTTTGCCTACATGTATGTCTGTGTACCGTATGCCTGCAGTGCCCACAGAGTTCAGAGGAGGGTGTCAGCTCCACAGAACTGGAGTTACAGGTGGTTGTGAGCCACCATCTGAGTTCTGGGAATCGAACCCTGGTCCTCTGGAAGAGCAGACAGTGAGTGCTCTTAACTTCTTCCACCAGGATTTTTTTAAATTTTGAATATTCAGAAAGTTCATCATTAGCATATAGACTGTTATAGCAACATATAAAAATAAATGTAACTAAATGTATATAAACAAAATATATATGATGACTGATGGCATTATTTTAGACTTGAGAATATGCTTTTTAAAAAACTTCTTATTTATTCTTTGTGGCTTTCCCATCATGCATCTTGATCCCATTTATCTCCCCGTCCCTTCCTATCCACCCTCTGCCCTTGCAGCCCCCTCCCCCAAATAACATAAAATTTAAGAGAAGAAGAAAAAAGAGAAAAAGAAAGGAAGGTAGGAAGGAAGACAGGAAGAAAGGAAGATGTCGCCATGGAAGCTGTAGTGTGACAGTGAGTCATGCAGAAAACCCGTTTGTCCATATATCTTTTCTTTCAAGCATTCGTTGCAAAGAGTCATTGGTCTGGTTTGAAGCCTCTGGTTCCTGCTGCACTAGTGATGCTGGGCCTCACTGGGACCCCTCTTGGATGCCCTGTCGTCGTTCTGTGTTGTGGAGATCCTGCAGCTTTGGGTTCAAGGGACCAGCCCCTTCACCTGCTCCAGCAGATCATAGATTGGGGTGGATGTGGGCCGACTCATAACCTGACTCTGGGCTGGGGCGGCTGCAGGGTTGGTCAGCCCACCAGCTCTCCCCCATCCTCACCACCAGGGTAAGCTCTCCAGCACTGCCCGGCTAGTGCGCCCTATACAGCAAGGAGCAAGGGGCGGGGGCGGTTCTCCTGCTTTCATGTCCTCAGGGCCTGCTCACCCCCCCACACCACCAGGGCCAGCCCGACTGTTGCCAGGTGAGGTGCAGGGGGCACTATCCTGAGTGCTGCAGCTGGGGAGGGGCAGGGACAACTCTCCTGGTCTTATGACCTCAGGGCCAGCTCTCCCACCTGCCGCAGGCAGCGAGTGGCAGAGGTGGGGTGTGTGGAAGGGCATCTCTCCCTTGCTCACACCACGGTATAACAGGGGCGGGGTCAGATCTCCCAAGCTCACATTCTAGGGGTGGCTCACCTGCGCCACT